AATGTTTGTACTGTCTGTTGAAAAATGTGAACTGTTCTACAAGTGTTGAGTATTGCTGGTATTTCTGTCTAGTTAGTAGCTCTAACCATTACAAACAGTAATGCCCCATGCAAAACACTTTTGACTGAGCTTTGTTTGCTCGTAATAAATCATAGTTTGATTTCTCACATTTAAGGTTCATTTTCTTCTGTGCCCTGCCAGAATGAATGACGTGCCAATTTTTTTTCCTCAAAAGGAGTAATTTCCCTCATGTTCAAAGAATTTGTAAAATTAAAAACAGTCTCAAATGTTTATTGCTATGGTTAGTTGGTGTCTTTTGGCAGCAGGACAGTAGAATAACAAGACTGCTTGATGCTGAGGGGAGTTCAGTAGATGAGGAACAGAAGGCTGAGAGTGGCACAACCCTGAGAAAATCTGAGGAATTTAGGACTTGTTCCTGCTCCCTGTGAAGGCAATGGCAAAAATCCCATTGGCTTCAATGAGAGCAGTATGAAGCCAGAAAAGAATTCTGAATTGCTGCCGTGCCACCCATTTTTCTCTCTAGATGCTCCAGCACAGAAGCAGGGCTATTAAATACATTTCATTCTTGCGATGCTTGGTAAGAATAATGGTACCGCAAAGGAAAAGTTTATTTTGTTGAATAATCTCTCCCCCGCCAAATGATTTACTATAATTTCATTAACGACTCCAGTCCAGTGCATTTCCTGGAGAGTTAATGGCAGGCTCAGTGCTAATGACCCTCTGCTTTGCCTCAGGCCATTAGCTCTCTCAGCTGGTCATTATTCTCCAGGAAGTGACCTGGGCCTCGACCACAATTACTTAGTTAATTTGAATTCATTGCGCATTAGAGCTTTGGTGGTTGTTTCTTTTCACACTATCCCTATAGTGTTTGACTCCCCCCACTCTCATTCTGTTTTTGGTAAGGACAAAGTTGGAACCCTTCCTAAACTGTATCAGCATTGGAGGAATATTGAATAGTTAAGTAAATGCATGAAAGCAAGAAACTCTGAACAGATTTCTTAAAGAAGAAGCAACTCATCAGCAACATTGTCCAGCTGGCATATAAATATAAGTACATTTGACTACTAATATTTCCTTTAAAATTTACACTCCTGGCTACCTAGTTATAAGACCATGAGCCTGACCCTGTACCATGATGAGCAACCTGAACTCCTGCTTTACAGGAGTTGAGGGCCTGTAGCATCTTACAAGAGAGGCTCAGCACCTTGTAGGAGTGGGATCTAAATCTAGATCTCCTGCATTCTGTGTGGTTTGCTTTTTACGTAATAATCTGTGTCTGTTTGGGCCCAGATGCCATAATTGTCCACTGAGCTGCACACACGGGCCAGAGAGGGCAGAACTCATGTTTGTCGGCTCCCGAAACAACCTTTGTCGTTATCTCTGTTAGCTTCAGTTGTAGGAAGGCTTAAATGGCCTCTTTTTAGAGTATATGTTGGAAGGTGAGTTGCTCACAAACATTTGGGGAGTTTCCATCTAGCAAAGGGCAATTGTAGTATGTGGGCATGTCAGTCAGTACTTCGTAGCTATAGCTACGTGTAAGCAAGTGAAACCCATGCTTACACCTGGTTGCTCTCTGTCTCACTTTAATGGCTGGACTACGTAGAGGTTTATAAATCCGATAGTGGCTTTGAGCTAACATGAATGGCTCTTTTAGCACAGACAACAGAAGCTCATGGTTTTAGATCTGTGGGTTCCAGGTTTAATCCTTGCTGCAGACAGGGATGTGACATTATATTCAGGTGATGTCTGAAACTTGGGCATGGTTCACTGAGGTTTGCTAACCATTTGGCAAAACTAAGCCATCTTTGGATGGTGGCTGGGCCAATTTGTAGTATTGCCAAAGTGGTTAAAAAAAAAAAAAGGAAGTGAAAACTTAATTGAAATAAAATCGTAGAAATGACTTCAGAGGGGGTCAGCACTACTTTAACTGCACTATAAACCCCATATCATTAGTTACTGGGTAGGGAATTTAAATATTAATTGCTACATTGTCAAACTAATTTTACTGGGTTTGATTCTTCCCTCACACAAGCTTCCCCCCACCCTTGTTCTTCTAACACATTAGGGCAGAGGTGGGCAAACTACGGCCCGCGGGACCCTCCTGCCCGGCCCCTGAGCTCTTGGCCCGGGAGGCTAGCCCCTGGCCCCTCTCCTGCTGCTCCCCCTACCCCACAGCCTCAGCTCATTGCACCACCAGCGCAATGTTCTGGGCAACAGGGCTGAAGAGCTCGGCCTGACCCGGTGCTCTGAGCTGTGTAGTGGCGTGGCGGGCTCCAGCCAGGCGGCGCGGCTGCAGCACCGCCAGCCACCAGTGCTCCAGGCAGTGCGGTAGGGGGTCAGGGAGAAGGAGGGGTTGGATAGAGGGCAGGGGAGTTCGGGGTGGTGGTCAGAGGGCGGGGGTGTGGATAGGGGTCGGGGCGGTCAGAGGGTGGGGAACAGGGGGGTTGAATGGGGACAGGGGGTGCCGGTGGGAAGTCAGGAAGGGGGGGTGGGATGGGGCAGCGGGGGGCAGTCAGGGGCAGGGATTCCGGGGGCAGTCAAGGGACAGGGAGAAGGGGTGGTTGGATAGGGTGGGATCCCAGGGGAGCAGTCAGGAATGAGAGGAGCGGTTAGATGGGACAGTGGGGGGCAGTCAGAGGTGGGGTTTCCAGGGACAGGGAGTGTGGGGGGGTGGATGGGGCAGGGGTCCGGGGGGGCTGTCAGGGAACAGGAGGGGGTTGGATGGGGCAGGAGTCCGGGGGGGGCCCGTCAGGGGGCGAGAAGTGGGAGGGGGGAGCGGGAGCTGGGCCATGCCTGGCTGTTTGAGGAGGTACAGCTTCCCCTAACCGGCCCTCCATACAATTTCCGAAACCCGATGCAGCCCTCAGGCCAAAAAGTTTGCCCGTCCCTGCATTAGGGCCTTCTTCATTTGTGGTAAATGAGACTTGATGTTCTTTGTCAGCCTGGAGAATCCCAGCCAATTCCAACAGTTAGTTGAGGGGGTTGACTTGGAGTATCAATAAAAGTGACCTCCACATATATATTCCTATAATCGCATTTCAATCAATTTGAGGATAAGGTTAACTAAAGATTTTTGGGCCCAAAGAAGTTTCACAAGAAACTTGGTTAATTTCATTACTATGGTACCATACAGCCAAGCGACCCGTGATCTGGGTCTTCCCATGGCTCAGTGTTCATGTCACACTCCCCGTCAGTACCCAGGCTGGGCCAGGGAAGCTAATGATCCAACCAGCAGACCAAATTCGGTGATGAGTCCTAGTCATGTGCCACCTGAGGGGTGTTTCACCTATGCTAAGGAAGAAGCGCTTACACAGTAATAACTTTTTTCCATATTCTTACATTTGAATAATACTTTTACTAAAAAAAAAAATTCCAAAACCAAACAGAAAAACAACCCGCCCTTTTTGAACTTGCCTCCTTCAATCTATTCCTTGTCTGGTATTAATCCCCTTTGGGGATTCAGTCTGTGTGACCAGAACATGCAAGTTACAACAAAGGAAACTTTGAGCATCTATTTTCACTGCATAAGTCATTCACTGCAAGAAACTGCCCCAGTGTACTTTGCAGCCCCCGCCTTGACAAACAGTCAACATGTAAATGAGTTCCGACATCTGGTGGAAAGTCCAAATTACTGTTAGAAGGTTTCAGAGGGGCCCAAGTGCCCAACACATATGGTCATATTTATTTCTGTGGGGATGCTGGACTCAATTAAGCAAAACACATGACATTCAGCGAATGTCTAGGCAATTATATTATGCCTGGAGTCATTTTATGAGGTGTGAGGCTGAGTGACTTTAGCTACCTTACAGAAGCATACAGTGCCTAGGACAATGGAGCTCAGAACTCAGGGCTTCTAGGCACTATTGCAAGCCAAATAAATAGTAATTGTGATACAAAGCTGTTGAATAGGATTTTTTTTTAATGAATAAATGAAAGAAAAGTTATTTTGAGTTGGACCCTTAAATGAAAAATTTCAGTTCAATTCAAATGTTTATAAATGATTAATTTATAACCTTTTCTGACAGAGGGCGTTGTGGGAAGGGACAAAACTGATGGCCTGTTTTAAGAAGGTGTTGTTTTGACATAGAGTCAAACGTTATTAGTTTTGGAAATATATCACAAAGTCCCGCCACCATTTAGTTACAATCATCTTTATGGTATCGGAATGTCTTAAAACTTGAATTAAACTTCACAACGCTCCGGAGAGGTGGGGAAGTATTGTATTGTATTGTATGTTTTCCTTATTTTACAGAGGAAGAAGCTGAGATACAGAAAGACTACAGACCAGATTTTCAAAATAACTTAATCAAGTTTGAGTGCTCAGCTTTAGACACCTATGTCCGGATTGATTTCAGTGGCAGCTGCCAACACTCAGTGCCTCTGAAAATATGCTTTGTTTTCTAAATCTGGGGATCCAAAAAATTAAGACCTCCAAAATTACATTCCCTTTTGAAAATTTGATTGGCACATGATCATGCTTGTCTTTGGCAGAAATGTAAATCAAACCCCTTTCTCTGGGCTCTCAGTACTTTGCCTGAACCACATGACTATCCTTCCTCCCCATTAGCAGCTAGCATCATTTTGCAGGCAGGAAAAGTAAGTTATGTTAAAAGCCAAGGGGAATTAATTAATGTACACAGGCAGAGAGACTACACAAAGAAGCAGGAAATTCCACCAGATTCTCCCTTTCTAAAATTGTGCTTTCAAGGTCCTTCTTAGTGTCGACTTTAAATAACCATTATTTGCTCTCGAGTTACTTTGGTATTATCAGCTTGCCTTAGTGACAGATTGCTGGATAGCTCTCTTTTCTTCTTTCCAAAAGGAGCACACCCTTCAAAACAGACTGTTTTCCAAGTTATTAGTTTCCTTGTTATTGTATCCATACCATTCAGTGATCCAAAAACCCTCCCACCAGGATAGGAAAGGCTAAGTTTCCCCAGCTGGAGACACAGCTTTAGACACTAGCACTCTTATTTGTTGTCCCAGCCTCAGAGGGGGCACAATGTGGCCAGCATGGGATTCTGATAAGAAAAGAGAAAAGGCAGAAAGACAAGGACTTTGAGAACAGCAGAACCGGTGACGGCAAAAGGGCTTCAGCTTGCCTCAGCTCCAAGAAGCAAAAGGTCAAGTACATGCAGTTTTTGGCTCACATTTGGATGTAGACTCTCAGCAAAGGGTCGCAGGTTCAAAGAAAAATTGGGGCTGCTTCTTTAGAAAGAGCAGAGAAGTGGAGTTGATGGGTCCCATTCACTGAACTGGATTAAAGAGGCTGAGGCTGCGGGTATATCAGGTGCCAACAGTGCCTGATGGGCTGTAGAGTAAGTCTGGCTTGCCTGGGGAATGAATTTTGCACAGTACCACTGGATCGTCATCATCATTTGATACAAGACGAGGCTGAGATCATGATTCAGGTATGTAGAATCTGTATATAAATCCGAATAATTAATATAGCCGAGGCTGGGGTTTGAGGGGAGAGAACAGGAGAGTGCCAGATTACTTTGTGTTCCCAGCACTGTTTAAAGCCACAATTGTCCTTTATTTCCAACTCAGAGATCTATAGTCTGCACATGATTTATTATTATGTGGTTCTGTACAACAAGGTTGGGTGTGTGCCGCAAATGTGTTTTAATTAAAGAAAACAAACAGAGAAGTTCTGCCAAAGTCTGAGGTGCTGAAATCTATCCCGTTCCCTGCATTATGTCTGTACAGAAAAAAAATCCATTTTAGTTTCCAGTAGTCAGGGTCCAAACTCACAAATACGAAATCTACAAGAGAAGTTCTTTAATCCGCAGTAACCACAGGAAGACACATTGTGGGTTACCAAATTCTGTGGTTTAGTGAGTAAACAAAAAGGCAATTAAAAGACCCCCAGGAGTATTGCATAAAGCAACTGTACTGCTATACAAAACAATACATTAATGAAGCCATTGTATCTGTGATTGTGGTAACTTGAGCATTATGTGGGAGCATGTCATCCATTGTAATTATATGATCACCTACAAGGCAAAAGTTGCAAGCAGCAAATACGTGTATTCACTTTGGCTGTGGGCCAGTTGCCTAGTTACAGAAAACAGCTTGTCAGTTGGCTGATGTATGAACACCAGAGAATATGTGGATAACAACAATCATTTAGTTTGTTCATAACATTTAATAAAGCAAAAGGTTTGGGCATGCTTGTGCATCCTTTGATTTCTTTTCTGTGTGCTTTGTAACTATTATCGATGAATTCTTAGCATTGTAGAATAAAGCTGACATGGCTTCTAACTGAAGATGAAAGTTTCCTTCTAACTGATTTGTGGTCTGACCCACTTCAAAGCTTGAGTGTTTCATTCAGGAGTCATAATGTTAATAAATGTATATTATTCTCCTATTTACCATAATGTGCTGGCTTGAACTATACTTGTCATACTTTTACAAGGCCTGATTCATCAATGCATCATGGTTTCACCAGTGCATCTGCCAGTTTCAGTGGAGTTGCACTGGCATAAAACTGAACCCAGTGGTACATTTAGCCCACTGTCTCTTCAGCTATTCAACATTATATTTTTAAATGAAATATGCCTTTTAATTGCAATAGATTTGTGTGGAAACCATGGCAAGAATAACTGTAAATACAAATGGGTGGATCATTTTGGATTACATGACTTCACTTCAAACTTTTTTTGTGAAAAAGTTTGTTTAGCTTTTTTTAAAAAAAATCATTTTTGTGCTCCCCTTGACTTTCTGGATCTGGACAGGACTGGAAGGGAAAGCACCAATATTTCAGGGGACAGGGTTATTTCTCAGTAGTTCAGGCACAATTAGGTGCTGGAAATACCAGGAGTCTCAGTAGAAATCTTGTTCCTAGGAGAGTTTCAGCCCAACTTTGCAGATTCTAGAGGTTCAGAGAAGCATCCATATTTTTGGTTTGCTAACCACACTAACACTCTGAACCTTTGAGGATTGCAGAGCAGCAGATCTTCTCCCATTGCTTCTTCATGCCTTCTTCCATGTCACTCTAGAGGGTATGTCTACACTGCAAGTGAAAGGTGTGATAATAGCATGGGTTGGCATACCTGTGCAAGCTTTATTCTACCTAGCATGGATAACAATAGCAGTGTAGATATGGTGGATGGGCTGGTAACCAGGGGATATACCCAAGGTCCCTGGAGGTCTCTGTCTCTCCTGTTAACGCTGTACTACAGTGTATAAATAATCAAATAGTCATTGGAGCAGGGACTTGAACTTTGGCCTGTCACATCCTAGGTGAGTACCCTAACCACTAGGTGATAGTCTTTCTCATTTGCTTTCCTTACCCCAGTGACCATTCATTGTCATTATGATTTGCCCCTATGAATGATAATGAATAGTCATTGGGCCAGGGAAAGAGAGCTCTTGAGGCCAGGAAGGAATTTCCCTCCAGGTGGTATAACATTGGACAAATGACCATCATATGTAGTATGGGCTGATTCTTTCTCTCTCTCATACCATAGGAGCCTTCACCTGAAAAATCACACTTTGATGCAGTAGGAAAAAAATGGGACTAGGAAAAATTGTGTTAAAAAGAAATATTTTTTACACGTGAAATTATCTTAAAGGGGCTTTGTAACACAGGGGCTAAAGTATCTCCAGCAGGTCAGGACAGAATTTAGATGCCATGCCTTGAGATGATTTCATCATAGTATCATGACATTTAAATCTCTTGCATGACACAATTGCTGCACTTGGCCTTCAGAGAACCCAATCTACTCCACCTAGACAGGAGGCAGAGCTGAACTCTAGCATGATCCAGTCTACTTTAATCCTTGTGGTCCTGAGCATATACTAAGTGTTTATGGTTAAAAATTTACAAATCTTCTGTTTGCACCTGCTCTGTAGTGACTTATGACTATGAGAGTTTATCAGCTAAGATTTCCAAAGATTAGATCTGGACTGAGCATGCTTCATCCCCTCAACTCCTACTTGTGCCTGGACTGGTCATGTGCCATCCCCATAAAGCAACTGAGCATGCTCCATTGTGGGGCTGCAAGGGCTGAGCAAGACTCCACCACACTAAAGAATCATTTAGACTTAAACAATTTATTAAGTTGTATGATAAAATGGGCTTGATTCTCTTTTCATTTAGACCAGTATAAATCAAGAGTGACTCCACTGAACTCAGTGAAATTACATGAGAGACAGGAACATCAGGGCCAATAACTCTTAAAATATTTGTTATAAAATGAGTTTAAAGGAGGGAGTAGTCTATGTAGCTCACAAAGGCTCCAACTTATACTGCTATTATGCAATGGAAAACACACGAGTCAATGTGTTAACCTCATTAGCTTTTGTTCTATCCAAAAGACTAAAAAGAATGGGTCAAAATGCAGAAAGTAAATATTTTTAAGATTCTGTATTTGTGTATTGATTTTAATCCTTCTCTTCCAACAGGATGTTGTTCAATTAAATGACTATCTGAATTGACACTACTTCTGGCCATCCTTATAAACATTTCAGTTATGACTGTAACTAATTAACATCATCCCACTATTTGCAGTACACTTTAAGTATTTCCTGTATGACTGTACAGAAGTGCCATGACTATTGCTGTAGCAGTATCTGATGGCGAAGTCACAATTTAAAATTTTTTTTTAAAGAATGGCCCAGCATTGTACAAGACTCTACATGGTGGTTCTAAGTTAAACCTTGGCCACATTGTATGCTGGGCAAAGCCTTCTGATGTCTTTGTAGTTCAAGATGAATACCACTCATAGCAACTCAAGGGAGAAATTGTCTGATTGAAAAAAGCCTCAGAAACCTTCTAGTCTGCTCCTCACCGCTGAGCTGAAGTCAAAATTTGAGCTGCAAGGAGGTTACAAAGGTTTGTATTCAGCAGATATTGCCCTTGGCCTATGCACATGAGGTTGACAGTTATAACAACCACAGGTCCTGGTACATGCTATTACTTACCTGTAAAATGTCATTGGAAAAATTCTGACTGGTGTTCAGGACCATAATGTGTAGTGAATCAGAACCACGCTACGAACCACTTGCATTCCATTTAATTAATATGCCTCTCACTTGCATGTTCAGATTTAGGAGACTAATGGAACTATTTATTGTAACTTTTTAAAAGCAATTTCTTCTAAATCATTTTCCTTTCATTTATGCATAGCTTTATTTCCTTCTATTGCTCTTTTCTTGTCCATCTCACTTTCATTCCTTTTCTTCACAGTTCAAACAATATCAATATTAGCCATATACATCCTTGTCTCAGAAAATGGTGAGAAAATGAGCCAGAAACTAAGGAAGGAAAAATGTAGAATTGGCTTTAATGAAGAATTTTTAATATTGGGTCTGATTTTGATATTTTCTAGTGTCATTTGGAAACTATTCTATTTAAATCAGTGGAATTACATTGGTATAAAATCAGCTTAAATTAGATCAGGTTCAATATGAGATATTAGTTGGATTAAAGTAGTAGGTGCTGGTTGAAAGTTTTCTGACAAAATATTTTTCAACTGGAAAATGCCAGTTCATTGAAAACATAATGTTTTGCAGAAATGTTTCTGTTTCGACTAAAATTTTCCTTGAAAAAATGTGTTACAGTAAGATCAAAATGTTCAGTTTTGACTTTTTTAAATTGAGTGTTTTTCCCCATTTTGAAACAACTTTTCATTTCTTTTTTTTTCTTCAAATTTTATGTAATATAAAATAAAAAAAAGTCCAAATCAGAATGAAACTTTTCAATTTAATCAAACTGGAACATTCTGATTAACTCAAAATGAGATCTATCTTTCTTTCTTTTTCTTGAATAACATTTAATAGGAAATTTTGAATGTTTCTCTTTTTACTCTATTTGAAACAGAATTGTTTTTTAAAAAATCACAGGTATTATGTGAAGCAAAAGACCCGGTTTCCACCCAGCTCTAGAAGTAATAATAATGAATATTTTCAGTACATTTCATCCAGAGATCTCCAAGTACTGTATAGAGGTGGAAGAGTATTGTTATGGCAGGACTCACCTGATGGCATCGTTACATGTCTTATAGCTTCTTTTTCTGAGCATGCAGACAAAGTACAGTTCTTGAAGAAATGCTGTATTTTAGGGATTTTTGTGTGATCCAGGTTCTTTTAAGGGAGCTGCGGCAAACAGCTAGATCTCCCTCACTACAGTCAATTCTTGGGGCAGAGCTGCTTCCTGGGAACTGGGCGTTGGTGTTTGGACTGAGTTACTTGAAAGAGGGCTTTGCCTGCATGTAGTTTGTGAGCACTTTGTTTAAGCACTGGTGTGTATAGTGTAAAAAAAACAAGTTACAGTAAGAACATGCCCAGAGGCCATGTCACTGATTTTTTTCTCCAATGGCAAACTGACCTGCATGGTCCTAACATCTGCCATCAGTCAGCAAAGGGTTGACAATATTATTCTAGTGTTACAGATGTGGAAACTGAA